ACGCCGGGTTCGCCACAGTCCTCACTGGTCACATGCAGCCTGCAGCACCTGAAATGTGGCCAGTCCAGTGTAAAAGGGACTGTAAGCATAAAACTCTCTCAGATTTTAAAGACTTAGTATGGAAAGAATGTAAAAAGTCTCGCTAATGTTTACGTTGATTACATGTTGAAAATAGTTTAAATAAACTTGTTTAATAAATATATTAAGTTAATTTCACCTGTTTTTTATTTTTAAGTGATTTTTTAAAGAATTACTTACTAATTTCATTTATTATTATTTTTAAAATTTGCTATAAGGCACATGTGCTCACCAGGGGGAGAGAGAGAGAGGAAGGAAGCTGCCAGGTCCAGGCTCCCTGCACCGCCCCCTGTTCCCCAGGGCTGAGTGCCTGTAACTCTAGGCAGAACGCTAAAAAGGAAGCGAGTAAACCTTGCGAGGACTTCCCTAACACTCCCAGCACTGTAACAGGAACAGACAGCACTGGTGAACTGAGGGGACTCGCACATCTGCAGGCAACTATTTTCCCAACAAGACAAAAGACTGAGACAACGCTGAGGAGAGCGGCGTTAAGATGAAAGAAAATTATATTATCTACCATCGTTTATGTCAGCTTAAATCAACAGTTGATTTAATTTTTCAAAAATTAATTTTATTTTTTATTTTTGGAGAGGTTTTTGCTATCGGGTGCGTGCACTCATCAGAAAGACAGAGAGAAGACAGAAAGCGAGAAATCACCCCCACGCTGCAATCCCTTCTCCTCCATTCTCTGCCCCGGGATCTTCCGGGACTCAAACCATGGTCAACTACATGGGAGTCCAGTGACATAGCCATTACGCTAACCGCTGGTCCCTCAAAAATTATTTTTAACAAGTGTTTACTTCTTTCTTTCAAGGGACCGAAGGAGAGAGAGACAGAGAGATAAGCACACGTAACAGGGTATCATGCCACGATTCCGCCCAACCTTTCCAATTCACCAGGATAAAAGAGCCTGTGCTTAACAGGTACGCGTCTACCCGGGAGCCGAACCAGCAATGTTCCACCTGGACCCAGCTTTGTTTGAGCATTTGTTTTTTTAACAAAAGATTTATAGTAACGAATAAGCGTTGTGAGTGGGAGTGTATCAGTGATCTTGCCTTACGTGCCAAAATGTTTCATTTCTGATTTGAGATGCCAAGATTCCATTAGATTGAGCAGTTTCATAACTGTCTGAAAAGATGTATTTAACATTATACGAGTCAATGTCGCGGTTTCTATTTTGACAGTGTCCTAGGTGTTCATTTAAGAACTTATGATGTACATTAAAATTTGCTTCCCAATTAAAAAGGTCAGCTTCGTGTAGTCTGGCCAACTTCCAACTCAAAGAAGCTTTATTTGTTTTGATCTTCAGTATACTACCTTTTTGATTCCCTTTAGGAGCTATTAGAGTGAGTTTTGTTTATTTTTAAACATCATTCACCAAGCTACTTTGTTTCACATTAGTAAGGGCCAAGTTTTACTAGATATATGCTTCACCCAAATTAGGAAATTAAAAATAAAGGGAGGTGTGGGTCCCAGACAGGGAACAGCAGCAGAGAAAGCCCCGGGGAATGGCGGTGTGTGAAGCTGGAAGCGGCTCAGGTCGGCGTGTTAAGTGTGAGAGGTGATGGTGATTAAGAAGTAAGGGCATCTGTTGAACTACCTGGAGAAATTCAGATGTCCCTCTGCCAGCAATGAGAAACCATTAAAACCAAGGGTTCTGAGGCAGGAAAAGGGCAGATACCAGATCTGAGGACACCGTTTTTTCTTTAGTCATAACAGAGCACATGTGAGACGGGGCCCGGGGAAGCGGCGCGAGCACCCTCCGCAGGGCCTGGTCATGCTGCCATCCCCTTCCTCCAGTCCTTAGATCTCGGGCACTCGCGCTCATTTCGCCGGCCAGGGATTCAAATCCTGATTTCCACGTGGCATTGGGTTTCTCTTGAGCAGCACAATGACCACTGTGCCACACAGCCGGCCGGACTACTGACTTTTATATCAGAAACTGGACTGCGATAAACAGGAGACTAAGGTACACCTTAGAAGACGTCAGCTATAACCCAAGCAAGAGATGACAGACACAGGACTAGGAAAAGCAGACACCATGATAAAGGTGGTCTGGCAACAAGAAATGGCCCAGGAGACTGACCGTAAAGGAGCGGTATTTGGAAGTCTAAGTCGGAGCAGATGGAAGGAGGAAGGGATGGGGGACGCACAGCATCACTTTGGTTCCTGACAGGGGCCCTGATCTCTGATCACATGGGCTTGTATCCTGACTGTCACGTAACCACCTCTGTAACTTTTTCAAGTCTGGGCTTAATTTCTTATAAACTCAAATTTCAATTCTTTGTGAAACAGCAGTACAAACTTCTACCTCATAGAGGTATTAAGATTACAGAATTCATCTAAAGAGCTGAGTGCAATGTTTAGATAGAGAATGGATTTAGCAAGTGATAACTGCTATTATGATTATTATTCACCTGAAAGGAGAATTACTCAAAGGTGTCACTTTGCAGCTCACTTGGGTCTTGCCGACAGTACAAGCAGTCCCATTTGGAAATGCCATCTAGCTGACTAATATTTCACCTACAAAGGGCTCTTTATGCTTTTGCTTTTAGCGACTCCACCTGATAAAAGTTCTTCACCTAAGAAATGAATAAATACCGAGATTGAGGCTCCATTACCAACTATTGATAGGTGAGATTTATGCACATTACAGAATTTAAGAGGTTGTTTTCCCCCTCCTTTGTAGTTATTTCTTAAAAAAAAGAGGAAGCAATGAATCTGACAAAACTCATAAATCATGACGCTGGCATGCAACTATCCGTACGGTCACTTGCAGGTGTGAACAGAACTCAGCGAAACAGAATCTCTAAGCAGAAAGGAAGACCCTTCTGCCAACGTCCTTCACTTACTTTATCCCACTGAGGTGCATGATGCTCAAGACAATGGTTGCTTTGATAAAGAAGAGAATAAAGAAATCCACCATCTCTGCCATAAATCTGTGAGCCAAGGATGGAATGACATACTCTCTGCCTGTAAGCCAAATGAAACAAAAAACAAGTTAGGAAAACAATCATTTCACATTGGCATTAGAAGACAAACCAACTACTGGGACGGCAGGTGGCCTGGTGGTTAAGGCACTGGACTCCCACACGGCTGACCAAGGTTCAAGTCCTGGACTTGATTTCTTGCTTTCTCACTTTCTCTCTCTCTCTCTTGCTCTTTGGTCAAACTAAAAAAAATAATAATGACGAGCGATGAGTAAAATTAAATAATTCTTTCAAAAGAAAAGACGGCAAACCAAGTACTAAATGGAGAAAGCGAAGGCAAGGAGGAACTTACTAAAAACGTATAACCTTGCGGGCATGACGCACTGTTTACTGTTTATAAAGCTTGCTTTCACACATAATGTTTAAAAACTGGTTTCACGGCGTTGCAGGTGGCCTGGTGGGTAAAGGCGCTGGATTCCCACATGGCTGACAGTAGTTTGAGTCCCAGACCTGGTGGCTAGGTTTCTCCCTTTCCCTTTCTCTCTGCTCAAAAATGAAAAAAAAAAAAAAAAAGAACAAATAGAATTAAAAATGTAAAAATTTAGGTTACTTATAGACAATTAGTATAAAGTACAAGCTGTAGGCCACATCCCCTTCCCATAGACCCAGTGATTACCGATCTGTCGCCCTAAGTGACGTCTGGGGTCATGTCAGCATCAGCTAGTAACTGTCCCTCACATCTGCGGCTGAATAAGTCTAACTGCCAGAAAGCCTAATAAACTGAACAGGACATCGAATTCGGAACATTCTAGCTCCCCAGAAGCGGGCAGACAATAGATGGTTGGGCCGCCCGTTCGCACTCCGTCCTTACCCCTGTAAGCCTCCTCTCCTAGCTGCTGGGGCCCACGTCTGCATTTGCACCTGCCAACCCCCCCCCCAAGTGGGTTTGCCACCTGAGAGCTGGGCTCTGGCTCGATCCCCCGACCGTGGAGATCGAGGGAAGGGGGTGGACGGTCTGAAGAGCCCCAGTTTCTGGCCCCACGAGTAAGCGATCCATCCCGAGGGCCGGGTCTGGAAGCAGCCCCCCGCGCCGCCCCCGGCCTCACCTGCCTGCCGCCCGCTGTC